GAAGAAGAACCGCAAAGGGACCGAGATGATGCACCACATAACCCTCCTCCAAGGCGTAGGGAGGCTCGTGCTCATCGACATCAGGTTGATTCAGATGAAGAAGAGGACTACGTGCCAGCACCACGAGTCCAACGAGGTAATGATCCAAAACTTTCAATGCCTACATTCGCGGGTAGAATTAATCCGGATGCCTATCTCGATTAGGAGAGGCGGATGGACAATATTTTCGAATGTTATGAGTATTCGGATCAGAGGAAAGTTTCCTCAGATACGCAGCGGCACAACTCACGGACAACGCCTTAGCATGGTGGGATCGAGAAATAGCCGAGAGGCGTAGAGCACAATACGAACCTGTCACAACATGGAGAGAGATGAAGTTCATGATGCGTAAGAGGTATGTACCTCCACATTTTCATCATGACTTGCAACGTAAATATCGTAATTTGGTGCAGGGAACTAGAATCGTTGAAGAATACTATGAGGAGTCTGAGCACCTACGAAACCGATTGGAGTTAGATGAAAGCGAAGAAGCAATTATGGCACAATTTGTGGATGGATTACAGGAGCGAATTGCTCGAAAGGTAGAACGTTTAGCTTACCATGATTTGCAGGAACTTATCCATATCTCAATTCAAATCGAGCAGCAAATCGCCAAGAAGCAAGCTCGTTTTAACCGAGCAAGAACAACCTCTTCGAACCAATCTTATACACGCGGTGAGAACAAGTCTGGGACTGTTCCAACAACCAAATCTACCCAATCCGAGGCAAATATCCATGACAAATAGAAAGACATAGCAACATCTTCGGGATCACATCCTAAAAGTAACAAATCAACTCCCGTTGAATTACATTCACGTGAGATTGTTTGCTATAAGTGTAGAGGGCGAGGACATTATGCAAAGGACTGTCCAAATAATCGTGTCATGATCCTTACGGATATGGGAGATTATGAGTCCCTGGACGAAGATGAAGTTGATGATGTTGATGAGAACTGATGTCGATCTAGGATGTGATCTAATCTTGCTTTAATTCCTAGATACAATCACCGCAAGTGTACGGATCAATTGTAGTACCTAGGGTCGAACACAAGGACACGTGTGGTTTAACGACAACAATTACAATTACTACTCGGTTTCGGTCGGAGACGATAATGATGATGGTGATGATTATAACTGAAAGTAAACACGAATTAAAGAAAATATAAGCAAAGACAGCACAATTCTATAAAACATCGTAGGTGTCAGGAATTACGGGTTATGTAAGGATCGCTTCTACGGATATATCTTCGTAACTAGAGTTATGATTTGGGAAATTCAAGTTCTTGCTATAGAGGATTACTCTCTCGAGTCTCACCTCACTTCCTAAGAGTTCAACTACCGATCTCTCGATTCTAAATAGATTGAAACTCTTAAGAGCATTAAATCCACCATCACGATTCCTAGATGTTCATTCATTTCTCAATGCAATGCTCATCTATTCAAATGAAAGATTTCCAAACTTAGTTCCATATCTCTATGCAAACTAAATCCTAGGTTCAATAAATCAAGTGGCCAACAAGATTCATAGCATTAA